TAAAATTTGCAAATTCATTGAGATGGAGCTGCTGTTCTTTAGCCCTTGCTCCATAAAGATGATGGATTTTGAAGGAGTCATGTATATATCAGGAATGGACCCTTGGCTTAGATGGTGATAATGGCCAAGCCAGAATAAAGGCTTCCAATTCTTGCCTCATAAAAAAGTAAAAAAAAATTAAAATTACATTTTGTAAACATTAATTTATTTGGTTTTTTAGGGAGATAATTAGTCTTTTTTTCTTTCTTTTTTGTTATTTTGTACTTTAATTACTGCTAAAAACTTTTTTTTAGTCTTTGGAGGTTAGGATTTGAATGCATCAGGAGCCCTATTCGTTATTGTAAAATCTGCACCTCACTAAAAAGAAATCTATTTTTTTTGGGTAGTTAATAAAAGTCTAAAGTTTATCTCGGCAATCCACACTTAACACTTTTAATTGGACCAAGATTGCATCGTATCATATAGATTTTCTAACTCATGTGGTACATGCATCTTATCCCAAAAAATAGAAATAGTTATATTGAAAAAAAAGTAATGATCCTATAGGACCCTCTCCACCCATGTGCGTAGGACTTCAAAGGATCACCATTAAAGTTGACATGAATATTTAAAAAAGTTGTTACATGGGTATGAGATTTGACTTTTCTAAAGATCCATGCAAAATTTAATGACAATCTTTTGGGGTCCTACACACATGGGTGGGGGAGGATCTTATAGGATAATTTCTCATTGAAAAATCCCTAATTTTAATGAAAAGAACAATTGTTTCATGTGAGCTGGTGTGGTCCATCTTAAAACAATCGTAACTAACCGTCCAAATGTCTTTTTAATAGAATTATTATTTACTGTTTTCATATTTTTTTTCATATTCATGATTTTCATGTTAAAAATTATATATTCTCTAAAAAATAGGGTCAAATTAAAATTAAAAATATATTTATTGCCATGCCCGTATTTCTACATTATGTGGGTTGGTCGCATGCTAACAGCCTGCAAATAACTCGGTGAATATTTATTTTACAATTAAAATTTAAAATTCCCAAATTAATGGTGAATATTTTTACTTTTAGAATAAAAACCAAGGAACCGATAAAAGGGTAGGGTTTTAGGTGCGCCCTGGCATGCAGCTATTAAAGTGAGTCCACCCATCCAAAGTTCATCTTAGAGATGGAATTCGAATACAAAACCATGATCATGAAAAAAATAAATAAATTTGATTGAACCTTAAAAATGGTGCGTTTTTGCATTTTTTTTATCAACAATAAAGACCATCTAATGTGAGCTCCAAACGCATGGATTGAAGTACAAATGGATTCCCAGTGATCCGGGGTGTGTTTTCGGTCATGACTCATGAAAACGGATAATCTAATTTATACTATTTTAGAGTTCCTAAATCTCTTAAAAATCAGGGCAGACGCAATAAAAATAAACACACAATTCAATATGATTTAATTATTTTTTTTAGTTTTTAGAATTGGCCAATATTTCATTGTAGGTAAATAGTATAAAATTAGGCACCATATTAAAAATTTTGGATTCTCAATTGTTCTCAAAAAAAAAAAAAAAATATTTTCCGATATTTCACATAAAAAAATCTGAGGACAAAACTGTAATTCATAGAAACAAGTTGAGTTTTGTGGGTTCAATACCAGGAGGCAAAAAAAAAAAAAAAATTCAAAAAACCAAAAAACCAAAAATCTCCAAAACAAGTGTCTCTTTTATTCTATGTTGATCGAGTCGTCCCTGAACTCAGACTCGGCGACGATTCCGTGCAGCTCAGGTACACATCGCCGTCAGAGCTCTCATCCGTTAGATGCATCTGCTTCAACGTGGCGGGTTCCTTCGCCCTCTCGAAATGATCGGCGCCGTTAAATTGGTGAGACTCGAGGGGTCTTAACGCCGTTTGCGCTTGCTCCCTTTGGAAATGATCGACGCCGTTAACATGGTAGGGCGCAGGAGGCTTTAACGCCGTTAGATGTATCTCCCTGCACGTGGCGCGTTCTTGCTTACTCTCGATACGATCAGAGATTCTTTGAACCTCCCTCTTGACGCAAAGAACGCCATCAGGCAATGAAGCCCACTCGCAGTCAGAGCCCGTCGAGTTGCCGGAGTTTTGGTTGGAGTCCTCAACGGGAAAGTGGGTTTGATCGGGAATATCGCCGGAAAAGTGGTTCTTGCCTAAAACATAGGTGGGGTGATCGGAAAAGATGGGTTTCCGGCGACGCAGGCAGCCTCCACAATGGAGTTTTCCGAAAAGAGAGGGACAGAAGGATTTGGAGTTGTTTGATCTTCTTTCTTTGTAGAGAGAGAAAGGAAGTTGTTTGTTATGTTTCTGTTGGTTTTGGAGGAAAAGAAGGCGCTGGGTGAGGCAATGGGGGCACACCCCTTGTGGAGGGACAGATGGGTTCATCAGGTAGCGGTGGGTGCTGCACTCTTGGGCCATGCTCATGCTGCTCTCTCTCTCTCTAACGATTACAGATTCCAAGATTTTTCTTCTTTTTTTCTCGGCCTCTCTCTCAAGATGGTAGATTCTAAGTTATCTCTCTTCTCGCTCTCTCTCTCTTCTTTTTCTCTGCAATTTATGCGTTCGGTTTTCTCTCTCCTCTCTTTCTTGGCAAGCTTTTTATGTCAACCGTTGTTCCGTGGAGGGTTAAGATTGCCCCAATCACAATGTCAAGTATCTAAATTATTTTATTTTTAAGTTGTTTTTTTATAAACTATTTTTACAACAAATTTCAAATGTTCAATTCTCTATTAAACTCGTACCAGCGAAAAAAAATTTTAATTTTTTTTCAATAAAATAAAATGATCAAAATACTTTTAAAAATTTTAAATGGTATTTTGGTTATTATATTTTATCGAAAAATTATTTTTAATATTTTTTATAGGTACGCTTCAGTGAGAAGATGACGTAGCAAATTTCATATTCATACAATTTGTATTAAAAAACCTAAAAATAAAGTACTTTGAGATGTCGGATCTAAGATAAAACAGTTAGTAGCTCTCTTAATCAAAATTGAACAGCTGGATAGTAGAGGAAGCATAGATCTTTTGTAAAAGAATAGAAACTTTCCCCTCTTTTCTTTCTTGCGCTAAGAAAATGGTTTTGAGTTATCTATCTTCAAATGTGTAGCCATATGTGTCTATCTTTTCATAAGGCTTTCTCTATCTCTTGTATGCCAAAATTATACGGGGAATATATAATCAAGGATTACAAAAATCATTTAAACTGCTATAAGATCATAAATTATATTGGAAAAGGTTGATATAGAGTGGATGATCTAAACAATCAAATTAGAGCCCATCTAAAAAATTTCACTAGAAGAGGTTTTCTTGATGCCCAAATATCTTCAAATTGATCATCTCGACATTAAGATGCATAGGACATGAGAAAAAATGGATTTCAAGTTTTGGAAACAATGCATTTTCTAACACATTTTTTTACTATCAATTTTCAAGATTTTCAAGTTTTTCATAGATTTATTCGATCTATACGATTTTTGAAATTTCAAATTTCATAATTAAAAATAAAAATATATTCCAAGGGTATCAAAACGATTTATAGTATCGAAACCACATTTCTTGATACTATTTGAAGGTGGGCCCTAATTTGATTGTTTAGAGCCTAGGCTCTATATAAACCGCACCAATATTATTTGTATGTTTGTTTTTAAATTGAGGTGATTTATGTATTGGTGCGGTTTGTATAGAGCATCGGTTCTACACAATCAAAAGAAAGTGCACATTCAAATAGTGTGGAGAAATTTGGTTTTAATAAAGGAAATCTTTGTGATAGCTTTAGAAAATATATTTTTCATATTTAATAATAAAATTTAATGAAAATCTTGATAATTGACCGTCAAAAAATGTGTTACAAGATGCCCTATTTCTAAAACTTGAAATCTGTTTATTTCTCATAAATTTTATTTAAAATATGAAATAGGGTAATTTGTGCTTGAGAGACAAGATATACTATTTTTAAAACTTGAAATCCATTTATCTCTCGTGAACTAAGTAAAGGCATATACAAGGTTTGAAGTAAGGATTTAAGATTTGAAAACCACAATGTCTACAGTTTGATGAGGTCATAATTATAACTTGTTGGTCTATCACCATCCAATCAACTAGTTGTACAATGATGGGAAAGAAAGCAGGCAGTGAAATAGATTAATTGAAATTATCCATTGGGACCCCTTGCTTGTACACCGTTGATGATAACGATAACCAATAGATTATGACTCTATCATGACCTTACGGCTTAAAACACAAAAGGGATTGTACACTATAAGACCACTCACTTTTAATATTCAATGTAAAATCCTACAGACTGAAGTGTGTTATAACATTTCCTTTATTTTGAATTTTCTGCCCAATAAAATATTTGCAACCTCCCGATTTCAAATCTAACGCTCAATAATAATACACCACCTTATACTTAAAACTTTTAATATTCAATGTAAAATCCTACAGACTGAAGTGTGTTATAACATTTCCTTTATTTAGAATTTTCTGCCCAATAAAATATTTGCAACCTCCCGATTTCAAATCTAACGCTCAATATTAATACACCACCTTATACTTAAAAGTACATGTCTTATTATTGTGTTAGGGTGAGGTTTGTATAAGTTTTCCTCCTTATACTGTAGAAGCAAGGAGTACCTCTCAAATTTACTTAGAGAAGTCATTGTGGTGTCCGAGACTCAATGATTTTTTGAAAATGTATTTTCATCCATGGTTATAGGATTTAAAATTTCAAATATAGTATCTCGAAAATCTTGAAAATAGACGATCAAGATAATTTGTTATAAAATGCACTATCTTTTAGACTTGAAATACTTTTTTTTCTTCATTTCTATACATCTCAATGTAGAGATGATAAATTGGATGGTACTCCAACATCGGTAAACTCTTACTTAGGATTTTTGAGGTGCAGTTTACTTCAATAGTAAAAGGTTGCAACCTTATATAAACTTATCCCATTGTGTTAACGCCAAAAAAATTGTGCGTCTTATTATCCTGTGCATTTCTGAAACCCACAGTGGTCCCTCACCTCAACACGCACTATTTTACGAGTTCTCTCGCTTTCTCACGGTGAAGGGTTTCGACATGGAAGAAAACAAGTGGAAGAAGACTGCACTCCTTGTTATTGATATGCAGGTCTCTCTTTTATCTTCTCTACATTATTGGCATTTCTAAGCTTACTTTGGATTGCTAACAGTTTTAGCCCCTGTTATTATAAGCATTGTAGTTGTTAGGAAATTATGTTGATTTCTTTGTTTCCAGCATATATTGCTTTCCATTTCTTTATGGATTTTCGGAGCACGGAGTTTTGTTCATTCTGTTCTAGGAAATAATTTAGGGTTTATATAGGTTTTCTGATAATCTGAGCTAATTATCTGTTAATTTTTCAATGGAAATTCAGTGTTCATAGTTATCGTCAACGTTGCCTACAGAGAAAAGTTTTTTGTTTTCCTTTTGCGTATTTTCAATGTTTTCGTGGAAATGATGACGTTTCTGATTAGTAATGTTAAGTGAGAGAAAGATGTTAATGGAGAATTTGGTTTTGGCTGGAAGAAAGTTCTTAGCTGAAAGAAAAGGGATTTATAGAGGGAAATGGAGTAATCAACCAACAGGGTGCAGATACCAATGTCATTTGTATACAAATTAGTTTCATAGTAAAAGAATTTCAGCAGAGAAATAGAATTAGATATTTTCTTATAGTTCTTGATCAAACTTTATTTATTTATTTAATAATCAGAATTTAGTAGGAGAATTGTGAAATTACGACAATTTTATTCTCTCTCTCTCACACACAAACATACACGTGTATTTGTATAGCAATCCTCTATGTAGATGATCATAGAACAGCTTTTGGCAATAGTCCTTGGTTTTTACATATTTGATACATGATCCTGATATTATTTATTGAAATATGAGTGGTTGATGATTTAATCCCCCTTACAATATGTGGACACAAGTGAACCTAATATTCCTGTTAGTAAATCAGAAAAGGTAATTTGCAAAAATGATACATATATGCAGTTAGGGTTTGTCCCACATTTGAGTCGTTATTTGGAAAACTTTTAACCTTGGTAACTTTGGTTTTAAAGTGAAAGTTAAACGAATTAAATAAATGTGGTTAAGTGGCGCCAAGTGGGAGTACCGATGGTTGCTTTGGGTTTGGAATTCGCTCAATACAGATTGTAGGGTCGATAAAAATAAATTAAAAAACAGTTATTTGTGTTACTTCCAAATTTTAATCCATGTCATAATAGTTTTAAGTGCGAATGCATGTAGTTGTTTTAAATATTGAAACTTCCTTCTATAATATAGGCTTGTCGTGAAAACCTTTTTACTTTATAATGCCTTACAAGCGTTATGAATTTTTTTAGATTTGAGCCTAAAAATCAAGATGCAGTTCTATTTCAACGATGGATTATGAGTATTAATAGTTATAATATCATTTGTAATTTTATCAATGTGGAAATGGAGAGTTGTATGATAGGTTAATAAGTATTATTATTTAGTAAATAAATGTGAATGATTTTGTAGTTGGAACTGCATATCTTCTTTGAGTATAAATTTTGATTTATTAGGATAATCGTTTTAATTTTCATCCAATCCTATAACTTCCCTTTTTTCTTTTTACTTTTAGTTTCCTGAAAACTGACAGTTTCACCTCAAAGAAGAATCACTAGGTTGCATATCTTGCCCTACCATACATAAGTTCTCTTCACAATGAATTACTCTTAACAACAATCACTTGACTTGTTAATAGACTCAAAGGATAGCAACACACCATGTCTTCCGACAACCTAGCAACTATCAAGTATGCATGAAGTGTAGAATTAAACAACTGGAGTGAAAGTGGAGATGCACTAATTGGAGTAGTGCCTTGCTCCATGCGATGGCCTTAGGATGGTCATGTTTAGAAGGGGCTTCCTGATCTCAAACTGGTTTAGACACAAGTCAGACACGAGGGAAGGAAGAATGGTTTGTGAGTGTGGGAGTTTGATTCTTGCTGTTTGTTGATGATATGTGACATGGAGTTTTGATGGGTTCATGTCTTGCCTGTTTTTGGTAAACTCTGGAAATAAAATATGGTTCTTTCGTTGGATGGAATCCACCTAAAATTGTAAAACTAAATGATTAATGGAGATATCAGCATTATGGTAATGATCATCTATTGGATATGCATGGCATTCTGGGATATATCATGATGAGACAACCTGGAGGTTCCGGAATTTCCTCAAAATGCCTAAGTTCACAATTTGTCCTTGAAAGCAAGAAAAGTTAGAATTCAATGGAGTTCATAGTCATAGAAACATTTGTGGGTGTAGAAGATTTGCAAAAATTGTTCCTAGAACATGCTAAGTTGAATCAAGTCCATGACCCTCCTTATTGAATAACTTGAACCTGGGCCCAATGGGGCTATGAGACTTGCTAAGCCACTAATGTAAGATTCCAGGTGTTTTAGGATGAGCTCTTGAACTATTGTATCTTAAGCTGATACATTTGTGAGTCGTTTTGGAGCCTTTTATGGCTCGCCTATTTTTTTTTCCTACTTTCAATTCAAGATCTGCCTCGACTGCTGGATTGAGATGATCACTGTTACAGGTTCCGAATCTTGTCCTTACAATAACATTGTATGCGGTGACTTATGCTAATTTGGATGGACCAATTTCTGGGAACATGGCATTTTTTTCCTCTGTTCATTTAGGAGTGAAAAAAGGCCCTACTTGTTCCGCTCCTACCATATTGTGGTGATGGACTTTTGATAACGCTCTTGTTGAAAGAAATGAGGTGAAAAAATTCGTGACCCTGCAAAACGTGAACCTGCGTTTTCACCCACTAAAAGTTTACTTCCTTCCTTGATGGAGTTTGATGATAATGGGGCCTTGATCTGTAGGTCTAACTAATAAGGTTGAGGTTCAGCTATTGAAGCCTAGGGAAATGCCACCAAATAGCACTGCTCACTATCATCTTTCTGGACATTATGAGCCTTGCAGATACCTCAGTATTCATGCAGCTAAGTGCATAAAAAATGCACTCCTATCAATTAACAAAGTAACATGTGTGTGTGGGTGTTGTATGCATGGGTGTGATTCACTGGTGATTTGTGTGTTTACTTTGTTAGAATATCGTGCAGTAGAAATAGCAAAAGATCTGAATTCTTGGTTTTCTTGTTGGATTGTTTGGCTCTTAGAATGACTTCATCCTACCTGGAGGTTCAATGCATGTTGCTGGAGGTCAATCTGTCATTCCTGCTGTGAAAAAGGCTGTTGCTATTGCAAGAGAAAGAGGAGCCCTTATTGTTTGGGTATGCCTGTGATATTTATTTTCTTATTTGTGCTATAATGGCTGTAATCTCCTGGCATTCTCTTTTATAAAATAAATAAATTAATAAAATGGAATAAGCAAAGATTCCCATTGGCTTTCTTTTTCCTATGATTCATACTTGAACTCCAAAATGGACAATTTTCTAAGGTGATGAGTTGGTGTTTCCCCAACCCATGTACAATCTTCTGACATCTTTAATATTTTTATGATCCATAATGTTTATGCCTATTTTTTGGTTACGGTGAATCTAAACTTTGTTTTAATACCTTGAATGGATTTTTGAAGGAAGCAAAATTGCAATGTTTGAAACCTGTTTCTTAGCACACCCATGTCCTAAGAGCTGGAAATAACACTTTTTCTTCTCGTTTCTCAGTTTTCATTAGTAACCATCCCCCAATAGAGTTTATTCTTTTTGTGATCCTTTTTTGTTCTTCGTTTATGCATCATCATGATATTCTCCTTTTTTATCTTTCTTAACATGTCTCATCTCAATATACATGATATCATGCAGGTTGTTCGTGAACATGACCCTAGTGGGAGGGATGTCGAATATTTCCGTCGACACTTGTATGGTGTTGGGAAGGAAAGGCCTGTCTCCAAGGGCACTAAAGGTGCTGAACTTGTTGAAGGCCTTGTGATAGAGGAAGGAGACTATAAATTGGAGAAAACTCGCATGAGTGCATTCTTTGCGACTCATCTCCATTTACTTCTTCAAAGTGTTGGAATCACAGATATTGTTGTAGTTGGTATGTTAAAAAATGAGCGTTTTAATTAATTTTCTACAAATGATAAAGGCTATATCTGATTTTGGAATTCCCAATATGCTTCTGGAAAATAAAGAAGACAGAAATCATGGTCTTGGTTAAGTCTTTTAAGTTGCAATATCATTTGCATATGCTTTGATATGACCATCATTTGCTTTCAGAAAAGTTTGTCCGTATCGATCATGTCATCTTCAAGCTCCACAATTTTTTGTTGATTTTCTATTTCTATAAACAAATCCTCGTATGTATTATCTGAAAGCTAATGAAAATATTCAACTTCCAGGAAATTTCCTTGAACTGTTCAGTCTTTTTCCTTGTACCCATCACCCAAAATACGATTCTGTTTATGTGCCTTAGTTTATCCTGTCTAGGTTGCTAATAATTTTGATTATTTAAGTACATTTCATCAAACTTGGACTGGAAGAATCTGACTTAGCAACATCATATTAAATAAATGAAGCATCAGTGATTCTTTTTTAATAGATAATCTTAGAATTCAATAAACTGAGTTATATTCTCAAACGGTTGGGGTTATTGCCATCCATTATGAAATCTTGGGCAGTGATGGGGTATTTGGGTAGAAAGTTGGAGTCTTCAGCAAAGGCTATAGACTAATGGTGGGTCCCACTTTCTTCCATCACGGTAATTCATTTGATTTGACATTGATGATCTTAACAGACTATGATTTTCCTTATTCGATAAGATTACAGTATACTATGTTTTTGAATAAGGTATTGAATCTTTATCATGCATAACTACATTTAGCTATGACACCCTTCCTTTATATTGATATTCTCATATATACTCTTTCTAGGAGTTCAAACACCAAATTGTATAAGGCAGACTGTCTTCGACGCGGTGGCACTGGACTACAGGTCTGTCACGGTCCTCACTGATGCAACAGCTGCTGCCAGTCCTGAAGTGCATGAAGGTGATATACATTTTTTTCTAATCTCTCTTTTCTTTTCTTTTTCGTAAGTGTATCATAATCTAGTGGTATGATGTATGGTACTACAAAGGGGCATCCACCATCCAATCCTGATGACTGGCCGAGGAGATTAGACCCAATACAGTTAGTCTCTAATGGGGAGTGCATGGTGGATACACCCAATGGATTTGCTTTTTGTCTTTTTGAGAGAGAGAGAGAGAGAGCTCACCTTGGGATCAATTTGTGGGTATGCGCATGCATGGTGTGTGTCTGCATACATGTCGCGTTGTTTTCTTTGTGGTTTTTGTAGAGCTTTGAAATTCTTTTGATATAATTTGCTGCTGAACCAGCAAATCTCTTCGACATGAAAAATGTTGGGGTGGCAACTCCAACGTTGCTTGAATGGTGTAGATAGATCTGGTGGTGCTGGTGGTGCTTGCCTCTTAAACGAGTTGTTGTATGTTTGTGCTTATCATAAAATTTTGTATATAAATCATGCATTTTATACTAAAAAGATCTGTTGCATTGAGCACTTTTTTTTTTGTTCTTTCGTCTTTTTTTTTTTTACAATATTATATAGGATTTGTTTTTTTTTTTGACAAGGTTACGTAGGAATGGAACTTAGATGTAGTACTATGAAAACCCCTCTGCTACCACCTTGACCTAAGCCCAATTCCTACATTGAGAACTTTGTCACCAAATCAATAAAACAAAAATTTCTGTATCCATTTACTACCCAATTCCTACATTGAGAACTTTGTCACCAAATCAATAAAAAAAAAATTTCTGTATCCATGTACTATTTATGCTCTGAAACAAGATAATGCTCTCTCTATCTCTGCACGTTTCTCGCTTGCAACCCATGATCATGTATGTTTATGTTGCTCGTAAAATCTGTGTCTGTCTCTCTCACTCTTTTTGACAATGTTTATATCTCTCTCTCTGACATTGTTTCTCTCTCTCTGCTCTCTCTGTTTGTGTCCCTGTGCACGAGTGCATGCACATCTGTAGTTTTCTCGGCTTGTAGCAACCCATGATTATGCATGTTTTTGTACTTTGAGAGTTTTTTAGGTAGGGAGCAGTGTTGTAAACCTTTGTGATTTGGGACCAAATCAGTTATTGGATGGTATGGGTTTTGGTCCGATTCTCTCTTTATTTTTATTAAGCTTGTCTAATATTTTTTTAAGTCCTCTTAAACATTTATTTTAATTTTAATTTTAAATTTTTAAATATTTTTCTATATCATTGATTTGGATGGATCCAATTGATCCGCATCATTGATCTAGCAGTTTGACATGGATTTGTGGGTGAACGATACACCCCACTGATCCTGGTTTGGAAACACTAGTTGGGAGTATTATGTATATTTCTTATTATGGGTATACTTAGTGCATTGTGTCATCAGTTTCACTGTCTATCAAGATCATGGATGACTTATGGAGAGATACTATGACCCATTCCTGGGTTCCACTATATCTTCATCACCATGCATCATTTCCATGGACGGTGTTGATACAATAGATTATGGAATTACTGTCCGTTTAATTGTAGTGCGTTGTAGTTTTTTTTGTTGGAACAAGGTTGCAACCTTATATTGTAAAAAAAATAGAAGGTACGTCGCACATGCCTATTCAATAAAGTTGTTCCGATATTGAAAAACTTTTTAATTGATCATTTCGACATCAAGATGTAGGGATATGAAAAAAAAAGGCTTTTAAAGTCCCAAAAATGGTATGTTTTATAATACCATCATCTAGACTGTCTATTTTCATGATTTTTATATGTTTCTAGATCTGTTCAATCTGTATTATTTTTTTTAGTTTTCAATATTATAATTAGATCTAAAATAGATTTTCAGGTCATCATTGAAATTTTCGACACCAAAACATCTTTTGATGGGCTTTGGAGGTACACCTTAGCTGGATTGTTGAAGGTTGACACCATATACGAACTACAATCTTTTTTGTTTAGGAAAATGTTTTGCAACCTTTGATTATGGAAGTAAGGTGCACCTTCAAAATCCATTAGAAAAGAACGATACAAAGTTGGAAAACCTTCCAATTAATCATATCGACCTCAAGATGCATATATATATAAAGAATCATATCGACCTCGGTTAGAAAACCTATAAGGACATTTTTCAATATGAATTTTTGGGAACTATTAAATAATTAGATGATTATTCTAAAAAAATTAAAATTTGAGTTTTCAAGCATAGATCTCACCGTCTAAAAATTGGATGGTCTCTACACATTCTCATGATGTTATTTTTTTTCGAGTGCATAGAAGGTATACTAAGAAAAAAAAAATTATTGAGAAAAATTTATAGGTTGTAGATGTTTGTTTTTTTGACAAAAGTACTTAAATTCTAGAGCAAATTTCGTATGAACACTATTTAAGGGGTCAATTACTAAATGAGATGCCATTTACCTAAAATTACAAGCACCACCCTTTCTCTCGTGGAGTTTATTTTTCTTCTTAAGTTGCCTCCTTGTCTAGCAATGCAAACACTAGACAAAAGGTTTCTATTGATAATTGGAAAATCAAAATACATTGGTCAAATTAAAACTTAAAAAACAACTATAAAATCAAGACTCCCCCTTTCTTAGCCAAGTCATCTGCAACCTCCGCTTCTATGTTGACATGGTAAAAATAGACCACCGCATCACTTGCAGCCACATGGATATGAGACGCCAAGGCGGTTTATAAACAATGGTACGCCTCTTAACGATCATAAGAGAATCTCTTTCTATAATCAAAGCATTTACCAACCCCCTCTCTTTCTATAATCAAAGCATTTACCAACCCCCTCTCTTTCCAAATAAAAATCCTTGCAAAAGAGCCGTCAATTACCACGCCACACGGCCCAACAAAGCATAATATAAATGAACTCCATCCAATCTCTATACGCCCCACCAACACCCGCGTTTCTAATGAAAAAACCATCAAAATTAATCTTCAAACTTCTTACTGTCCCCAAACTGAGTCCTAAATTAATTCTAGTCTAGGTGGGATTTAAGCATGGGAGTAAATGTACATCCTACGCCTGTGGGAGTAGAATATTTTTGGCTACTTTCAAGTTGCAGGTTTAAAATTGACGTCTCGTTTAAACCGTATCCTCTTGGAATACCTCAGCTTATTTTCCCGCATAATAAAACAAAGGAATAAACAAGATCGAAATATACATACACGGGCCGGCATTACAGTCCAAACAAGCATAGTTCACCATTTTATTTTATTCATCTTTTCCATCCGAAATGGAGACAAATTTTTACACCAAATTTGAACTTTTCTTTTCGAATTCTGAAACTCCAAATTTGTACGAATCGTTAGTGTATCACGAGGAACCAAAAAAAAAAGAAGGATGTTCGTAATCAAATGTTAGGATAAGACATTTCTATATCATTGATAAAAATAAAATAAAATAGAATTTTCCTTTATCACTGACTTGAGCAGGCACTAGAGTGCATAAGGCCACATCCCCTCGCCGGCGGTAAATGATTTTTTACAAAACTTGTACTCTACCCTTGGCAAGAAATTTGAATACGATCCATACTTCCAATTTGGTTCACTTGGCCTACATACCACTAGAAGTCATTATCACATAGACATAATTATTGTTTGAGTATCAATGTGAATCAGAATCATCTAATCAACAAACTTATAAAATACACAAGATTAAAATATTAACTATTAAGAAAAGACATAAGAAAAAAAAAAGTTTTAAATGAAGATATAAAACAAATGTGACTACATTTTAACAAAAAAAAACTTTACAATGAGATGTAAATATATACATATAAATAAAGAAAGATCTATATAATCTTTTACCGGGGTATACAATTTTTTTTTTTTTCTTCACCCCTTTCTTTTGGCAAAAGATCACTTATATGTAGTCTTTATTAGAATAAGATAAATTTCAAAATAAAATCAACGTAACAATAAAATCAAGATCTTAACAACTTGATGTCATTGAAATAATTATGCACTATGCTTGAGAATAAAAGATAAGATTGTAAGAAACAAAAGGAAGAGTGTCGATGATTACCTCAACCGGATTTATTACATCCCATACCGAGTTACCACCATCCGATGGCACGGGATCAACGGTTTAGCTTCAATCTCAAATCGGGAAAGCAAATTTTAGCCAAGCCACACCAATGGAACATAAACCCCTTTGATCACAAACTCAAACCCTAGGTAAATTCTCTTAGCAACTTAGTTTGAGAGAGATTGATTTTCTTTTTTGCTAAACCCTAAAACCCTTAGCTATAAATCCATATTTGAGAGATATGAGAGAAAAACTTCATAACCTAAACCCTTAAGTTCTTTCACAATGTGGGAGAGAGAGATCAAAGATGAGGGAGTGGTGTGTGCCCCCTTTGTGGGATATGAGAGAGAAAGATGTGAAGTAGGTATAAGAGATAAGGTGTAGAGATTTTTGGTTAGAGACAATCATTTTTTATAAGCTTTGAATAAGATTAGGGTTTCTTAGGGTTTTCTTTAGCTTACATCTTCTTGTGAGATTGAACATAGACCGTCGATCAAGGATGACTTGTGGGGTGAGAGATCTGAGCCATCCATTTCATAGATGGGCCATCAACATTATGGAAGGTGCATAAACCATTATCCCCCTTTTCTAAACCATTTTCCCATCAATAGAAATTGAATAAACTAAATCTAATTCAAAATATTGTGCATACCATAAAATAACACAAGTCTACTTAATGTTTCCATAAAATCTTTCAAAGATATATCAAGTCAATATTTAGTCAATATCTTCCAACTATATGGCCACATGCTATATCACCAAAAAATAGGAAAGAGAATTAGGGTGGGGGCGTGTCACCAAGGGAGGCACTCATGGGCCCCACCTTCTAAAAATATGACGGGCCCATGTGCACAATGGGCCCCCATGATATTTTTATATATTTAAAATTAATAAAAGGATTTTAGAATAGTATTGAATATTTAAACAATTGTGCATACCATAAAATGAATACAATTAAATTAATATGATGGGAAAATGATCCATATGGTTTAGGAATCAACAATCATGGGGCACTCCACCTTTAACTGTGGACTACAGACCACACTTGCTTTATCAGACTGACCCAATATTTCTCATGACCCACAGTCCAAGCAGGGGCTCACTAGCAGGTCACCAAAGTTCGGCTGATGAGCCAAGGGATTGTAATTCCAGTTTATGGATTTGAGGTCCTCCCATAGAGACGAGTCAGGGTCACCACAACTTGATGCGACCACAGCTCTATGACGCATAGGGGTATCTCTCGTACATGCATACGCTTTACCCAAAGGTAGATATCTGACCTTTCAGAACGATCTATCAATATGCATGCCGTGTGATGGAACATGGATGAGGTTTTGGCCCTTGTCTTAGTAGGCCACTATCACACGCAAGGGTCACACAGTCCCTCGGCTCACTCATCCGGGCATGTTCTCCAACCTCATCAAGGGCTAACCCATAAACCCTCATCAATTTGTTCTTCATGCCCAGTTAACATGGGTTTTTCCCAATCGAATAGCCTAGATCGTCAAGCACAGTCCGATATCTGCAAACATTGTTTACTTAGTATGGCCCACGAGGGACCATACTCCCATTGAGTTCATGTTCCACTCTATCATTTCATTTTACAAGTACTCATAAAGCCTTTAAAAGCCACATAAACCCAACATATAATCATATATCATAATGTTCCTATAATCATATAACA